CCCTCCCAGTTCAGACCTCCCAGAGGAAGGCAGCCTTCTCCCTCTTTTCCCAGAATCTGCTTCTTTTTGAAATGTTGTCTGCTCCTTGTTCTAAGGCCAAGTGTGCAAAGCACATTCCAGCCATCTGATTTTGTTTTATTCTGTAGACTGGTTTTTTGGGGCTCTCCACACAGGAGATCTATGGACATCATGTTAGTCCCGGTCTTCCAAAGAGGAGATGTGAAAAGGGAATTAAATGTGCAAGGGTTTTACTGGGGGAAATGCCTATGAGAGAAATAGAGTAGGTGCCAGCGAGGCCAGGGGAGCCTTCAGACCATGATGCAGGCTGGATCCCCGTGAAGGAAAGAGGGCAGAAAGGTTGTATGGAAGCATCCCAGACCATGTTGCAGTATCTGGAGGGTTGTGCAAGGCCATGAGGGAGTCCTTGAGCTAACTCAACTATTAGAGGGTCCTGTGTCTCCCAGGAACAGGCCTGCCATGCTCCACCTTTGGCTGGTAATTGCCCATAGGAAGCATGACCTCAGTGCAAACACGATGATGGCTTTCAAAGCACGGCAGTGGGGACCCTCGGTCATTGATGCGCCTGTGGTTGGAAGTCTGAGAGACACATTCACATGGTCACTTCATGTGACCAAGTTAATTCATCACACAGATGCTTATTAACTTGGGTTGGAGGGAGATCTCCTCTGTGCCTTCACACCCCTTTCAGTGACTTCAATAGAAAATCAAGACTTTAGTGTGTTTGTGTGTCTAAGTGTATGTGTGGGTGTCTGTGTGCATGTGTATGTGTTTGTATGTATGTGCGTGTCTGTGTTTGTGTTTAGTGTATATTTGTGCATGTGTGCATATTTGCGTGTATGCTGCATGTCTGTGAATGTGTGTGTCTGTGTGTTGGTGCCTGTGCATATGTGTCTGTGTGTATGTGTGTTGGTGCCTGTGCATATGTGTCTGTGTGTATGTGTGTAAGTGCATATGTATGTGTATATATGTGTTTGTGTTATACATGTCTCTGTGTGTGCATGTCTGTGTATGCATGTCTGTGTTTCTGAGTTCATGTGTGCATGTGTGTCTGTGTCTCTGTGCATGTCTGTGTATAAGTTTCTGTGTGCATGTGTGTGTGCACATGTGTCTATGTGTATATGCATGTCTGTGCAAATGTGTGTTTCTGTGTTACTCTGTGTTTGCTTGTGTGCTTGTGTCTGTATATGAATGCACATGTTGGTGTACATGTGTTTC